TCTGTTGTTTCACTTCCCAGACGGCTACAATGCCCAGGGATAGGTCAGGAAAAAGCTAGGAGTCGGGAGCCAGGACTTTTTACCTGTTCTCCCATGAGGGTGTAAGGGGCTAAAGGACTTGGACTTTTTTCCACTTCCAAAACAGATCATTAGAAGAGTGCTGGGGGGCCGGCACTATGGCAGTGGGTTAAAGCCCTGGCCTGAAGCGCCAACATCCCATATGGGCGCCAGTTCTAGTCCCGGCTGCTCCTCTTCTGATCTGCTCTCTGCTGTGGCCTGGGAAAGCAGTAGAAGATGGCCCAAGACCTTGGGCCCCTGCACCTTGCATGGGAGACCTGGGAAGAAGCTCCTGGCTCCTGGCTTCGGATTGGTGCAGCTCCGGCCTTTGTAACCATCTGGGGGATGAACCAGGGGATGGGAGACCCCTCTCTTTTTCTCTACCTCTCTCTGTAACTCTTTCAAATAAATAAAAAAAAAAGAAAAAGAAAAAGAAAAAAAGAAGAGCTTTGGATTAGAAGAGGTGCAGCCGGGAAAGGAACTAGCAGCCATATGGGATGCTGGTGTTACAGGCGGCAGCTTTACTCGCTATGCCACAATGCCAGTCCCTGTTTGTTTATTTTCAAAAGATTCATTTACTTGAAAAACAGAGTGACAGTGAAAGCGAGAGTGAGAGCCAGAGTGAGAGAGATAGCTTTGATTCACAGGTTAACTTCCCAAATGCCTACAACAGCTGGGTCAGTGCCAGGCAGAAGCAAGGCACCTGGAGCTCAGTTTGGGTCTCCCACTTGGGTACAGGAATCCAAGCACTTGGGCGATCATTATTTCCCAGGCTCATTAGCACGAAGCTGGATTGTAAGTGGAGGAACTGTGACTCAGAAGCACACTGCTGTATGGGCTGCAGGTGTCCCAGACGGTGGATGAACTTGCTGTGCCATAATGCCAGCCCTATGGATCTTTTTAATGTTATTTTATTATTTGCTAAGACAACAGCATTGAACAGAACTGAAGAATATTCCTCAATCAAAAGAAGTATGGTTTATCTCATGAGGGCTTGGCCAATGAGTACTTAGAGACTGGAAAGCCCATTGGATGCTTCTGCTGTGCCAGTCCTCTGGCTGTCTAAGTGGCCATCTTTTGCTATCTCTGGTGGGGCTTTTCTCTCTCTCTCTCTCCCTCTCTCTCTCCTCTTGTAGCATCTGAGAGCTGTGCATCTGCAGGAGGTGGTAAAGAACTGCTAGAAAGTGGTATTTTACCTTAATTGTGTTTGATCTTGCCTTGGTATGGTGTGGCTACCTAAAAGAGAAAAGAGTCCCGCTGAAATTTAAATATGACAATGAATTTTCAGTGTGGTGGTTTCTCTAGGGGGAGACAGACACGTTCAAAGCTCACTCTTTGCCCTCGAGCCCCCTATCATTCTCCTCAGGGCCAGCTTCACCTCCTGGTTCCGCAGAGTGTAGATGAGGGGGTTGAGGAAAGGCGTGATGGCTGTGGGAAACAGAGCAGCTGCCTCACTCAGGGGGCTGCTGGTTTCAGGCCTCAGGTAGATGAAGGCACAGGGCACGTAGTACACAGTGACCACGGTGACGTGGGCTCCACAAGTGGAAAAGGCCCGGCGCCGCCCATCAGCTGTCCGAATCCTCAGGATGGCCCGACTGATCTGGACGTAGGAGAGGAGGATCAAGGAGAAGCAGCTGGCCACCACCACTCCAATGTCCACAAAGGTCACCAGCTCGTTGACCGAGGTGTCAGCACAGGCCAGCCTCAGAACTGCAGGGATATCACAGAAGAAGTAATCTACTTGATTGGCCCCACAGTAGGGCAGGCGAAAGGTTAGTATAGCCTGGAGAGCCCCATGGATGGAGCCGGCCACCCAAGCTCCAGCCACGAGCAAGGCACTCAGCTTAGCAGTCATGAGTACAGGGTAGTGCAGGGGCCGACATATGGCCAGGTACCTGTCGTAAGCCATCAAGGTGTAGAGGAAGCACTGGGTGCTGCCCAGGAAGTGGTAGAAATAAAGCTGAGCGATACAGCCACCGAATGGGATGGGTTTGATGCCCGAGGTGAAGTTCATCGTGAGGCGAGGGACGATGATGGAAGAGATGCTCATGTCGATGATGGAGAGGACACCAAGGAAGATGTACATGGGGCGGGCATGGAGCTGCGGGTCTGCCCAGACAGTGACTAGGATAAGCAGGTTCCCCAACTGAGTCAGCACGTAGATTAGCAAAAACAACACAAAAAGGAATGTCCTGAGCCCGGGTGGATAGGGAATGCCTATGAGGATGAATTCAGCTAGCAGTGAGCTGTTAGCTTCTTCCATCTTCCAGAAAGATCTGACGTAGGGAATGGATAACATAAGTGTTAGCATACGGAAAGAAGGCAGTGAGGGAGAACCAGCGAAGGAGACTGTAGAAATACAGGCAGTGCAGAGAAACCTTTCTCTAACATGGAGAGGTGACATTTAGGGAGGAACTATGTTCTTTTTTTTTTTTTTTTTTTTTTTACAGGCAGAGTTAGTGAGAGAGAGAGAGAGAGAGAGAGAGATAAAGGTCTTCCTTTGCGTTGGTTCACCCCCCAAATGACCGCTACAGCCAGAGCTGCACCGATCTGAAGCCAGGAGCCAGGTGCTTCCTCCTGATCTCCCATGCAGGTGCAGGGCCCAAGCACTTGGGCCATGGGAGGAACTATGTTCTATGGCAGAGGTTTTGTAAATAGAATCTTATTGGGATACAGCTCCCTCATTGACGAACGTATTGTATCTAGCTACTTTGCTGCTACAATACGAGAGATGAGCAGCTGCATTTGGTCTGTGAAGACAAGTTTGTACCTAGGTGTCTACACCCAGAGCACCTTTTCCAATGGTCTCTGGGAAATGATCATTGACTTATTAGAACAGGCCATAGTTTCCTGGAAAGATGACATATGTTTGAGAAACAAACATAAGCATTTGTTTCATTAAATGTTCTGCCAGTTGACTCTTCCAAAGGCTAGGGCTCATTATCTCTGCCAGGTTGTAAACTTATGTAGAGTGAGGAAAATGCAGAAAGCAAAGAGATAACCCTTTGTAGAGAGAATGAAATAGAATTTTTTTTTTTTTGACAGGCAGAGTGGACAGTGAGAGAGAGAGACAAAGAGAAAGGTCTTCCTTTGCCGTTGGTTTACCCTCCAATGGCCGCCACGGCCGGTGCACTGCGGCCGGCACACCACGCTGATCCGAAGGCAGGAGCCAGGTGCTCCTCCTGGTCTCCCATGGGGTGCAGGGCCCAAGCACTTGGGCCAACCTCCACTGCACTCCCTGGACACAGCAGAGAGCTGGCCTGGAAGAGGGGCAACCGGGATGAGAACCCGGTGTTTCGGCGCCGCTAGGTGGAGGATTAGCCTATTGAGCCGCGGTGCCGGCCGAAATAGAATTTTGATTCAATGGCCAGTGTGTGACAATGCTTGATGCTGTACAGAAGATATCTCCAGGTTCTTTACAACTTGGTTCTTTTTAATTTTTATTTTAAAAATTTATTTATTTATTTGAAAGGCAGAGATACAGAGAGAGGAGAAAGAGATCCATCTTCTATCTGCTGGTTCAGTCCCCAAATGGCTGCAATGGCTCGGGCTGGGCCAGGCCAAAGCCAGGAGCCAGGAGCTTCTTCCGGGTCTCCCTGCACCGCCATGGCCCGAATACTTGGGCCATCTTCTGATGCTTTCTCAGGCCATTGGCAGGGAGCTGGGTCAGAAGTGGAGCAGCCGGGACTCACCTGGCACTCATATGGAATGCTGGCACGGTAGGTCATAGAAGGTTAAGCCTTCACCTGCAGATCCTGTGTGAATCTCACAACCCCCCTGATTTTTACTTCCTCACTGGGGATGTGAGGATGGGAAATAAAACTGGGGACCCAATTCTGTAAATAGTGAGCAATAATGGGTAGTTATCCTCAATGATGTTTACATTACACATTTACATTACACAATTTTAAGCCTACTGTATCCGTGCTCTGTCAAAGCTTAGCTCTCACTGTTTAACCATCTTTGTTATGGAACTTAGAAGAAGAAAGCAGTAAATCCTCCCACACAATGACATTTTATCCTCTTCCAAGTGAATGAAAAGTGGACATGAGCTTTTCAGATTTCGGCATTTTAATCACAGGAAAGCAATGAGTGTTGAACTTTAAAATGGTGGGCACAATTTTCTTCCGATGCCAGAGCCACAGATAGTGGCCTCCTCCCCCTCCCCAAGTTCAGGAAGTGCAGCGGTCTCAGGACCCCACAGCAATTCCTGGAGGAATTCCTGACTGCCCCGCAGTTGTCCTGGGCTGAAGGAGCTCAGGGGGCTGCTCCGCTGGGTTGTTGTGGAACAAAATAGTTGCCTGGGGTCCCCAAGGTCTGCTGTTTAACTCATCAAATTTAGAAACCTGATTTAGTCAGGTGTCCCTGAGGGAATCAGGCTCTGAGAGATCAATTCACAGGATCCTAATACCTGAGAGAATGACTTATGAACCTAACAACCCATTCATTCATTTGCAGTGGGAGCTCCCACTCCCATGAATGGTGTGTGCTGAATGCTGCTTGATAATATCAAGGTCCCTGGAAACCAAATTAGGAATAAGACGGGTATTTCTGAATTTTGAATCATAGCAAAGGGAGTTTGATGGAGAGCACTTAATTCAGTTTGTGATAGGTCCCAACGAGCTACACCTGGTAAATCACAGGCATTTTTGTCTAAGGGAATACCTCACTTTTCTCTTTAGTTACAATAGCTTTTCCTTTTGGCAAAAAGTTTTATTCTATTTTCTTCCTGAGTCTGTCTGTCTGTCTCTCTCAAAGGGTTACTTATTTATTTGGAAGGCAGAGTTACAGAGAGGAGAGACAGAGAGAGAGTTCTTCCATCCGCTGGTTCACTCCTCAAATGGCCACAACAGCCAGAACTGAGCCAGGCCAAAGCCAGGAGCTGGGAGCTTTCTCCAGGTCTTCAATGTGGATGCAGGGGCTCAAGCACTTGGGCCACCCAGACATATTAGCAGGGAGCTGGATTGGAAGTGGAGCCCATATGTGATGCCAGCACTGCATGCTGGATTTTAGCCTGCCAAACTGCTGAGCCACAGCACCGGCCCCTAAATTGCCTTTGTTATTTCCAATGGCTCTTTGATTATAAACATACTTAGTTTTGAGTATTTTCCAATTTTTAAGATTTCCCTAATTATCTTTTCATCTTTTGTTTTCCATTCTGTTTTCATGTTTGTTGGAGAATGTTCTCTGAATTACTACCTTGCATGTTATTTCTTTTGTAAAATTCCTGATGATGGTGACTTTCCATCCACCTGTAGTGTGCTGATTCTTCTTTTGTGCAACTAGAGAAAATAGCATTTCCTAATGCCCTTAGGTTTTAGAGCTGTCTAAATGGGAGGAATGAGGGGAAGGAATGTGATCCTATTTGTAATACCGAGTGCTCTTGTTGGGTGTGATTTCATTCTGGTTGCAAGTAAATTTTCCTCCTTATGTTTCTCTAATTTTTTAAATTAAAATAAAATTCATTTATTTGAGGCAGGGGGCGGGGTTTGGGGATCGGGAGAGAGACAAGAGAAAGAGTTTGTGAGCTGCATTCCAATGGCTCTTTCCAAAGGTGCAGCTGGGCCAGGCTGGAACTTAATGTAGGTCTCCCACTTCGATGACAAGGACCCAGTGACTTGGAGCCATCACGGGGCTTGTGTGTCTTAGCTCCTAGGCTAAATGCCTACCCCATTAGTTATTAATAAGAAAACTTCCCTTTACCTCTAATCTGGCATGATTTTTCTGCCTTTGCCACTGCCATTATCATGAAACTCTAAGCATGAAGCTTACTAATCACTGGTGACAGTCTCTTACTTGTTCTGATTCATTAATATCCAAGATATGGCTCTGAGACAATTTAAATACATCTTTCCAAAAACAAAGTGAGAAGAGTGGGGAGGAGGATAGAGAGAGAGGAGAGAGGGGAGACAGAGAGCACACAAAGAGAATGGCAGTGAGGGAAGCTGAATGAACTCTTTGATGTGAAGTGGGGGTGCTGTTTGCACCTGCGTGGTGTTCTCCTGCTCCTTAGAAGTGAGGTACCAGAGCCTGCAGCTGTGTAATGCTGGAGCAAGGACTCCGAGCATGTCTTAGGTTTTTCAGTCCAGCACTCTTTCCACATTTTACATTTTACATTTCTATGTTTTAGGATTTTCCATTCAGCATTGTTTCTACATTTTTACATTTACTGAACCAAGCAAAAAATAATTTAGTAAATCATGTGATCTGAGTAATGAATTTAAGAGTTTGAAGGTTCATTCTAAAATTCTATTTGAAAATACACATGTAGTGGAGTGAACTGTAAGTTCTAAAGTCAAGCCAGGCCAAATTTTGTTCCCATGAGCCCATAAGGTTGCCTAGCTTTCTTCATTGTCTGGCATTCTATTGCACTGAGTGTGGTTTATTTAAAAATCAGACCATTGTCTGGGGGCTTGGCAGTGTTTTCATTTTACAGTGACTTTTGCTGTTTTGAAGATATTGATGCAATGTGTTCATGATTTCTGATCTGGTATCAGGTATAAAGGTTGTCTAGTATAGGCATGTTTAGTAAGATATTGGATTTACTAGTGGATAATAAATGGAGTATGGATCTGTAACTCTGATCATTGAAGAATGCTAGTGGCTGATTTGCCAAGGGAATTATACTCCTTTTCTAATGAGTCAAGCACAGGCTTGACGCCCTTTTGGCAAATGAGTTTTGCTTAATTTTAATTCCAAGCTACGTCTCCAGATCTCGTTACCCATCCTGCAAATGACAGTAGGGAAAACCTTCAGAAGTTCATTGTTGGGGCTGGCGCTGTGGTGCAGTGGGTTAACATCCTGGCCTGAAGTGCTGGCATCCCATATGGGTGCTGGTTCTAGTTCCAGCTGTTCCTCTTCTGATCCAGCTCTCTGCTATGGCCTGGGATAGCAGTAGAAGATGGCCCAAGTGCTTGGGCCCCCGTACCCACGTGGGAGACCTGGAAGAAGCTCCTAGCTCCTGGCTTTGGATAGGCACAGCTCTGGCTGTTGCAGCCATCTTGGGAGTGAACCATTGGATGGAAGACCTCTCTGTCTCTACCTCTCTCTGTAAGTCTGTCTTTCAAATAAATAAAATAAATCTTTAAAAAAAGAATTTCATTGTTTTCTGAAAATCAACTCAAAGCACACTTTCTTTTCTTTATAAAAGACATCTAAAATATTTAGAAAAAATGTAATCTATTTTCATTTTCTAAATTTTACAATAAGACATATAAAGCTGAAAATAATCTAAAGGTTAGGATGAGTATATTGAACCAAATATATTCACATACAGATATTGAAGGAGAAGAGTTTGAGTTGTTAATCTGAGATGAGACTAACAGTTTCCATTAAAATATGAAACCCTCATAAGCAATGAATTGTTTGCTTAAAATATTCTAACATAGGGGCCTGGTGCTGCCCCCTGCAGGGCTGGCATCCCATATGG